GGTTGGACTGCAGTTTTGACCTCGCGTTGTTGTCATCAACACCCAAGCGGAACTCAAACCGGGAAATTTTGCGTATAATCTTGATGCATTAACCATTACGTCACATTGTCACGCTTTCTCTTGGGTCACAGGGCAGAAATGAATTTCAAGGAAGGGTAGGCCCTTTCGTGGGATTGTGGATAAAGCCAAATTATACTTGCTATAGCAACCGACTACATTACTTTACCTCTCGTTGCAATATGGCGTAATGGTTTGTATGTCGAGACGATACGCTCCACTATCACACTTTGATTATCGTTTGGAGTACTGAGGGTACCTCGGTGAGGTCGAACATGCGATCTACTCTGAATGAAAATAACCTTTTTGGAAACGAGGCTATGTGAAATTCATTGAAAACTTAAGGTCTACTGATGTTATTTTAGGAAAATATATGTACCAGTTCTTCATCACCTTCACAGAATAGGGCGACAATTTCATTATTACTTGTTGGTTATTCAGACTAAATGTATTGCAACTTTGGTTGACTAGACTGTCCATTTATTAGAGCACAGAATTGGCATGTTTCTGAGAAGGACTTAGCCTCCCATAAACGGTAATATTTTACTTGCTTATCTTACTAACTTTGTCTTTCTACATCTGATATAATGGAATGAAAATGGTTAAGCTATGCGATAAAATTGATTACTTTATGAGGTGTGAAAAATTAAAAAAAAACTTGCTTTATTAAATAGATATGAGACGTATTCATCCTATTTCGTTTAAGGTGATGAAGGAATGGTAGTAGATTTTTTTCACAATAATATGAGTAGAGCTGACATCTCCATTGAATTTCACATAGCCTTGCTTTACCAAAAGTTATTTTCATCCAGGGTGGACTCCCGAGGGAGGTGTTGATAAGACCGATGCGAGATCAAAACATATTTTTATCCTTCTTGAAATTTCTTATATTAGAATTAAGCTCGAATTTGTATGCAGATTTTTGTTTTATGGTATAGACCAGGCATGAATTTTTTCGTTAGTTCATTAAAATTATTGAGTTTTTCTTTATTTAAGTATAATCTCTAAACAAGCAGATTTATCTAGCAAAGCTTTTCTCAAAGATTTCAGATTAAGGATCCTTTTTTGTGGTTGACGTTTTAAACGGATCGTTTGCCGGTCTATTTAATAATTGAAGTTGCTGAAAATTTCACTGTTCCTGCAGTCTGATGCTAGAAGCTATTGTCTTTGGTTTATTCGCTCAAGCCATAATCTGATAGAGAGCTTAGGATAAGTTTTAATTAACGTTTTTACTAGTGCTATAGGTTGATTTTTTATTTATACGACGTTGAGATTGATGCAGTCAACGAGACATCGTCCATTTTTTCATGTGAAAACGGGAGAATTTTACAAGAATGAGTTCCAGCTCTGATAATTTAGATTTCTTAATCCTTAATATTTTCCCCTTAAAATATATCTCACCTCATTTAAGCTTTTCTAATCATGAAGTTTACATTAGGTTTCTTTTGAGAACCTTTGCGCCGTTTTCCATTCATAGATCTTATCTATTTTTAATAAAGTCTGCTTAATTTTAATGCATTTTATTAGCCAAAACCAACTTTTTAGTGATACTGTTCATCTTGTTTTATTTTGTGCATGAAATTCTTTTAGTAGTAAATACTCTTTCTATTATTCGACACAATCTTTCCCTTTGGGATTTTGTTTCATGAAAATATTCAATTAACCATAATTTCTGGAACTTTGATAATTTGCTCTTTGACAAGACTAAATTCATTTTATTCACAAGGGCTAATAGCAACATTTTGCCGTCATGACCTTTTTTAAGAATATTTTCCTCCGTCCGTTTGCTTTATATTTTTTGTGGTATTGCCAGTATATATTTTATATTTAAGGTTTTCTAACAAGTACTTTTTCCAATTGATTGTATAGGTCGAGCGTTCTGTTGCCCTCATCAAATCACTTAGCAGCGAGCGCACTCGTTGGGAAATGGGCTCGGAAACTTTCAAGTCACAAATGTCTACTATTATTGGAGACTGCCTACTTTCCTCTGCCTTCATGGCTTACGGTGGATACTTCGATCAATACATGCGCTCAAGCCTTTTCTCTACTTGGGCTGATCATCTTCGTCAGGCAGACATTCAATTCAGAGGAGATCTTGCCAGAGTAGAGGTAGGTTTCTCTGTTTTTCCGACTTTCTTCTTGAGCAAATTGTCGACTATTTAAATAATATTTTACATTGCTAGGCTGTCGTGGCGATAACGACTATTAGCAGGCTTAAGATAATACTTTTTAGCAAGCTATTATCCTTTTTAATCTTGTCATTAATCTAATTTTCTACCCGTTCAAAATTATCATTTAAGAATCAGGCTCTCCCACTTAAAATGCCATCTCCATATTATAACTTCGGTTTTTTTTCTAATGAGCTTACATATATTTTACTTTTCGATTTTTTTATCTGGTGTATTATTTAAATACCTTTTGTCCTTATTAACATATTAGTAAACT